CCGGTGGCGGCTGCGGCTGCGGCAGTGTGCACTGGGGTGCAGCGGCAGGGGGTGCGTGCGCATGTGAGTGCGCGCGCCACCATTCCCCCCCCTCGGCCCGGCGAAGGGAGGACTTCGGGGGACCGGTCCCTGGCTCAAAAAAGGTTGCTTACCCCTGATTTAGAATTTTCTGCCAGAGAGCTCTAGTACCTCAACAGGTACAAACCCCATCATGATTCCACAGCATGAAAGTGCTATAATTGTGAAGCATGAAAGAGAGCTGTCATTAGCAGTATCAGCTGCATGATCATGATTTGGGATCACAAGGTTGACAATGTTTAAATCCCCTCGTCTCTGCACTCTGAAAAGTAGATTGGTGTAGAGAAGACTGTATGTGTGTATATAGGTGTGTGTGTGTGTGTGTGTGTGTGTGTGTGTGTGTGTATATATATATATATATATATATATATGGAGAGAGAGAGAGAGAGAGAGAGAGAGACAGAGAGAGAGAGACAGAGTGGTGTAGTGGTTTGAACGTTGGACTAGGACTTTGGAGACCAAGGTTTGAATCCCAGCTTGGCCATAGAAACCCACTAGGTGACCTTCAGCAAGTCACTCTCTCAGTCTCATAGGATGACAAGAAACTTGTGAAGAAAACCCCATGATAGGTTCACCTTATGGTCGTCATAAGTCAGAAATGACTTGAAGGGACACAACCACAACAAAGATAAGTGTGTGCATGTAAGTGCATATAAACATGTGGGGCCTGCATGGGGACCAAAACATTGGGGTCAAAATATTGAACATCCTTTCCTTAAAAGGATGTGCATATAAGTATGTGGCCACTGGTCCACCATCCATCACTTCGTGGGGACCCAAACATTGGGGGCCAAAAATATTGTTGATCCTGTCCTTAGCTAAAAGTGAGTTTTCTGACTTAGAAAAGTTACTTGCTGAGTGTGCCCGAGACCCTGGATGCAACCAGGCTCTATTTGGCCAGCGGATTCTGTGGCAAAACTCATGTGATAGGACCCAGTTGTCTCCTGAATTACAATTCAGCTTGGGAGAGGTAAGACAGGTTTTTTTTTTTTACAAGTGCAATAATCTCCTAAACCAGGCAGGATGTTTTCTTGTCAGTAATTCTACCTACTGTCTACCACAAGTATGGCGAACCTTTAAGCCTCCAGTTGTTTTGGGCAACAACTCCTAAATGCCCTTGGCCATATTGGTTGGAGCTTCTAGGAACCGAAGACCCAAACATCTTGGTCAATTTTTTCTCACCCTGGTCCTCACAAAGAGATAGCACAAGGAAGGAAAAGCAATATTAATGAATATGAAGTACTGTATGAAAATTTTATTAGGGCTGCATCCACACTGCAGAAATAATCCAGTTTGACACCACTTTAACTGCCATGGCTCAATGGTACAAAATTCTGGGAATTGTAGTTTTGTAAGACACTTAACGCCTTTGCAGACTGCCAGAAATAGTGCACATTAAATTGAGG